CTCTTCTTTGGCCTCTTCCTCCGTTCAAGTTCATTGTTTATTTTAGATTTTTGTTTAATAAACTTATTAAGATTTAGTGTTCGAAGTTCAAGTTCATCATTGTCCTCATCACTTGAGTCATCACTCAAATGGTATTCATTTGTCCGGAGTTCCAAATCCTTCCTATTCTTTGGAAGGTGGTTCAAGTGCTCATCGGGTTCAAAATGTTCCAAAAGTGTCTTTTCATAGGTCATTAATGACCCGATTAATTCTTCTAATGGAAAATCATTTAAATTTTTTATCTCTTGTATTGCGGTTATTTTAGGATCCCACATTTTTGAAAGGGATCTTAAGATCTTGCTTACGAGATCAAAATTTGAAAAAGATTTACCAAGAACTCTTAGATTATTGACGACATCTATGAAACATATGTACATGTCGCCTATAATCTCGCTTGGTTGCATTCGAAAAAGCTCAAAATCATGCAATAAAATGTTAACTTTCGAGTCTTTGACTCTACTAATTCCCTCGTGCGTGATTTCAAGTGTTCGCCAAATATCAAAAGTTGTTTCACACATAGAAACCTGATTAAACTCGTTTTTGTCTAAGGCGCAAAACAAGGCATTCATAGCCTTTGCCTTTAAAGAAAAATACTTCATCTCCAAATACGACCATTTGTTCATTAGTTTAGAGGGAAGTTGAAAACCGTTTTAAACAATATTCCATAAATCCAAATTCATAGAAATCAAGAAAACTCTCATTCGAGTTTTCCAATAAGTGTAGTCCAATCCGTTAAACAACGGTGGACAAACAACCGATAAGCCCTCTTGAAAGCCATAAAGAGCCATTTCTCTCGGGTGTAAATCCGAAATGAGAAATACCGGGCTCTGATACCAATTGTTAGGATCAAGAGCACTAAGAAGGGGGGGGGGGTGAATTAGTATAGCGGAAAACTTTCGACAATTAAAACTGCATTCGTACGATAAAAGCGATTTTGGTAAGAAAGCCGATTCATAAATCACTTTAACTTATGATCAAGGGAGATGCAGTTAAAGCAAAGATATAAAGGCAGTTTGCAGTTATGATAGAAATCAGAATGTAAGCGCAAACTGAAATATGATGTTCGTATGATAAAACCGATTTCTGTCTTAACGTCGATTCAGAAAATACTTAACTATGTAACACGTTCGTAAATGAGCAGAAGGCAGTAAGCTACTAAGGAGGTTTACAGTAAAGATAAGATGCTCAAAGTAAATGCAAACTGAGATTTAGAGTGGTTCGGTCAATCTTGACCTACATCCACTTTTGGCTTCCTCCACCGACGAGGTCATCGACGTCAACTAGAGGCCTTCCTTCAATAGGCGAAGGCCAACCATCATTTTACAGTTACACTCCTTTTGACAGGCTTAGGAGACAACCCTTACAGAATTTCTCTCCTCTCTTGAAAGCTCAAAACTTGGAAGAAAAGAGGGAGGAGAACTTCTAGCTTTCGGTGCTTTTTGGCTGCCCTTTCATGCAGGAAAGGGTGGGGGGTTTATATAGGCCCCAAACTGGTTTGAATTTGGATCTCAAAAGTGTCTTTTCCTGGATTTCCGGGGTCCTAGCGGTACTACCTCCTGACTGGGGCGGTACAACCACTTGGCAGCTCGGAGACTGAGCCTCTAGGCGATGCCACCACCTGATAGGGGTGGTTGCACCACCCATTCTCGCTCGAAGACTAAGCCCAGGCGGTGCCACCGCCTGACTGGGGTCGTTGCACCGCTTAGCAGAGCTCGGTCAAGCGGTTCCACCGCTTGTCAAGGGCGGTTGTACCGCCCAGTCTCACTCGGAGACTAAGCCCAAGCGGTGCCACTGCCTGACCTAGGCGGTTGCACCGCCCAGCTTTCTTGGGAAACCATCTCCTAGGCGGTGCCACCGCCTGACTGGAATTCTAGTCCGAATGGGTTGATCCATTCGGCCCAATTTGGGTCTATCAAGGGCCCAATTTCCCCCAGATTAAGTTAATGGGATCACCTCCCATTCCTAACTTAATCTACATGCTAACTACGATATTTCTTAAGACATTTACTGCAACTTGCTCCGGTGCGTCAATTGCTTCTTCCGACGAGCTTCCGACGAACTTTCGGCAAACTCCTGGACTTGCGACGATCCACTTGGCGAGTTCCGACGAGCTTCTTTGGCAAGCTCCTAGACTTCTCGGATTTGTTCCCGTAGAATCTCCAACGATCGTCCGGACTTCCGTCGAACTCTCGAACTCCCAACGTGATCATGGTCTTGACTCTGGCATAACTCCTACTACATGTCTTACTTCCATTGTAGTTAATCCTGCACATGTAAAACAAAACTTCGATCAAGACAATTAATCCTAAGCAATTAACCAAGTTGTCTGGCATGTCATTGGTCCCTCGATGCTTCGTCCGATTCTTCGGCGCATCGTCCTCTCCTGCGGCCTATTGCCCAATCGGCTAATTGACTCCACAACTTCGATATCCTTGGCACAATACTCGCTCTTCTTGGCCTGATGCCCGAGTCCACGACCCGTAGCCTTCTGTCGATACGTCCACCGATCCATCGGCCCGACGTCCAATCTTCTAATATGTTCCTCCAGCACAACATGATTTTTCCTACTTTAATTGTCTCATCCTAATCGAAGCATCCTGCGTCACTCAAAATGTAGATTAAATCTTAAACAAATATCAAGTGGTTTCATCATCAAAATACGAGATTCAACAAGCCTTTCTGCGGTAGCAATTGCTCCGATCACATCGGTGACATTCCTTCGATGTAGTTCTTGTTGAGCCCAAGACTTCAAACCATCGAAGAAGCTAAACAGCTTATCCTTCTCGGACATGTCATATATGTCCAGCATTAGTGTAGAAAATTGCTTCACATAGTCTTGAATGGAAGTACTTTGGCAGAGTTGTCTTAGTTTCCTCCTTATGATGAACTTTGTGTTCTCAGGTGGAAACTGAGTTCTTAACTCCCGCTTTAAGTCCTCCCATATGTCCACCCAACACCGACCTTATCGGATCTCCTCCCAATGGGTTCGCCACCAAAGTTGTGCATCCCTATTCAAATACATGGTAGCTATCGAAACTTTAGTTTCTTCATAATCAGGCCTTGTAGCTCGAAAGTATTGTTTCATATTGAATAGGAAATTCTCGAGCTCTTTAGCATCTCTGGCACCTCCATAACAATGCGGCTCGGGTGCCCTCAAGTTTTGTGGCGATACAATGCAGGTGTTGCTCCCTCCCGCATTTAGTGCCCTTGTGAGTGCTGTCACTCTAGAAGTGAGTTCAGCCACGACTTCGTGCAAATGTTGCATGGAGTCTTTAGTATCGTCCATCAATCGATCGACTAGGGCTTCAACCTTGTCGATTCAGGATTCAGCTTCTTCTTGCAAGCTCTCTACCTCAAGAAGCCTTCGTTGGCCTTGGTAGAGTTCCTCCAAGCTCGCTTCAAGAACATCCAAGTGGGTTTCCGCTACTATGAGTCTCTCTTTATGACTCTTCTTCTCGGTTGGTACTCCGAATTGCGCCTCCTCCGCTCGTAAAGAGTAGCCAATTTTTAGCTCATCATGTTTGTTGCCACGATCCTCCAAAGCGGCTTCAATGACATGAGAGCGAGTTTGCACTTGCAGCCCACCTGCGGCTATTTGGGGCAAAGGTCCGGCTTGTCCGGCCTTGCTCAATTTGCCACAATGCTTAGCCATGGCGAGATTATGAAGTTGCTTCGCTGCTTGCTCGCTCTAATACCATAATAATATCACAGACTTAGCTAGAATTGCCTAAGTTGTGAGGCACCCTTGTGGTAAAGTCATGAACTTAGCTGAAGTTGCCTAAGTCATGAAGCACCCTTGCGCTAATACCTCAGACTTAGCTGAGATTGCCTAAGTTATGAGACGCCCTTGTGATATATGCGTCTGCAAATGGTTCAGCCTAGTTGCAACCTCGTACAGGTCCCGAAGGACCTATAAAATAGAAAGTTGATTAGATTGAAAACGAGCGACAAACAAATCCCGACGTCTCACTGAGAGGGAAGCTTTACAAATAATTCAGCAAGCACCTTGAGTGCAAGAGAGAAAAGAGAGAAAGGAGAAAATAAAGAATTTAGAAGGTAGAAGAATAAACAGTTGCAAGTCCACAAACAACTGCTCACCGGGTACCGGGCGCGAAGGCAAGTTCCCGACAAGTTAACGTGCGAACTTATGAAGATTTTTTAACGCCCGACAATATACCGAAGCCCTATCTAGCCCTGTGCCACCCAAGGGTTTTCAAGGTGCTGAGATGACTGACGTTTTATATGCAGTTACGACTTGCAAGAAACAAGTCGTGAAATGTAAAAACTGAGCTGTTTTAGGCAGTTCAGCCCGACGCGGCGAGCGGTCACATTGCAACATTATAACCTATTCGAACATGTATTTTTACAAGCAAAAACACACAAAACTAAGGCAAAACTTGCTTCCATGTCTCGGTGCAAGCATACAAAAGTGACAAACGGTTCGTTGAATAAAATTATTGCAGGTGCGCGATGAACGTTCATGACAATGTGGACGACCTTACACAATCGGAACTGAACCAAGCCGTACCCCTTCTTAAGCCATAACATAAAGAATCACAATAAGTTTGTTCATCAATGTTTCCGTCAACCATTTTATCACGTTTTATTTTTGTGTCATTATTTTAGTTGATTTTTAATCATCAACGTTCTAGTTAAATATTGTTTGCTCATATTCGATTTTGATTTTGTTTCTTCTTCCAACATAAATATCTTCCTTAAGCTTAAACCTATTGCTTTTGTTTGTATTTTGCTTTTTACCTTTATGAAAGCCCGAAGCAAGTTTCTGTTTTTGTTTCTGAAAACACGAAACAGAAACCCAGGGCATGCACAGATTTAATCTCAGCCGTCGATCCTGCGAATCTCCAAATACAGGGCCAGGATTTGTAACACAGATTATTTATCTATTTATTTATTTATATGTAAAAGTTGCCAGAAATTAAATCTCTTCTTATCCCCATCCCTTCGCCTCGGCCTTCGCTCCACCCAAAAACCTCGAGCCAAAACCCACTCCGTCGCCGTTTCCTCCTCTCTCTGTCTTTCAATCCACAATTGCAACTCCGGGAATGCTCCTCTTCCCTGTCCTGTCACCTTGCGCCACTTTCGATGGCGACGCCAATCGCGCCTCCTCTCTGTCTTCGTAACCCAGGTGGGATTCAAACGCGGAGCTCCATGGAGCTCTGGGAAGCTTGCCATCTCTTACCCCTGGGGCGCCGCCGCGGGGTCGACCACTATTTGCGGTTTGGTTCCCCGGGAAGGTTGCTCCCGCCGTACGTTCTCTCTCTGTCTCACATGCTTTCTGGGTGATTGTTCCTCGAGTACCTTCTTTTATTATATTGTTCTGTGTTCTGCTTTAGTTGGAGTCAATAATTCCGCCTCCTATTCCTTTGACGATTTCTGTGGGACTTACGTTGTGATTGGTTCAAGCATGGTTTTTGTTTCATTTTCAACTAGGTAATTGCTTACATTTGCGACGGTAATTTGTGCTCAGTGAATCCTACTTTGTACCTCATAAATACGTTTGCTGATGTCTCTTATTGATAAACAGTAGGAAAATTTTGTTTTTTCTTTATTTATTGAAATTGCATGTTGCACCGAGGAACTCTCCTGTATATTCTAAGGGAAAGTATTGCTTTGTTTATGGAAAAAAGGGTTTTTCAAAATTGGGTGGCGAATTACTCTCCCTTTTCTTTGATTTTCGCCTGTTTTCGGGCTCTGTGATGTCCACCAGCTTTCACCCATTTATTGCAATAGATGGCCCTTCAAGACTCTCAATGCAGGCTTGCTAGAAGGTTACTCTCCCTGTGAGGTTTAATCCTCATTTTTTGTCAATTTCTAAAGCATTCTTTAATAGTTATAACGTACCCTAAATCCTTCATTTGGATCAAATCATAGATTGGTAAATTTCTGCTTAAGTGTCACCTATATTTCCTGGCTGAAAATGGAATTTTTGGTTAATGTCTTGGTTGGCCGCAAGTTGCACCTCAAATTCATGCAGTTCCTCAGCCAAATGCTTTTTAGTTATTTCTTTCTCGGCAGCTGCCTAGCCTAGTCTAAAGTAAGATATATCCAAAAGATACTCAATTTCTTCTTTTAATGTGCTTATTTTTTTCTTTCTTTCTTAATTTCTTTCTGTGTGTCTGGAGCCGAAATATTTCATAGTGAGAAGATGTGATTACTCTTTAGTCTTGCAATGTGCTTAGTTAAAAATTGAGGATGCCATGGAATGGGGGACACTGTTGAGTTGTGGTGTATTCATAAGGACTTTATAGATTTGAGTTTGTGAGAGGGTTTTTGTCATGGTTCCTAAATAGTTCCACGTTTGGAAAACTAGAAAGTGTAGGTTTGGACTTTGGATATAAAACTGAATGGTCTACTGCTAAAAAGTTGGAGCCATGTCAACAGGTTCTGCTCTATACGAATTATTGAGATACTAGGTTACTTTGTTGTTGCCACTAGCATTAAAATCAGTATTAGCACATATGGTCAGAAATCTGCAGTCTCAATAACATTCCCTTTGTGAGTTTTCTTGAGATAACTAGGGTATTTGGGACATTTTCCCCTGAAATTTGTCAACCCTTGATTACATGGAAATTTATTCAAGTATCTCATTTCCTGAGAAGAAAATAATGCCACCCATAAGTGAGAGGTTATGCGACACAGAGACTGCCGAGAAAATATAAATCAAAATGCTTGCTTTAAAGTGGTTTTGCCCTCTCTGTATTCACATGAAAACTTTAATTGCTAGAATTATGATATCTGAAGGTTTTTTGTGCCATCACGATACTCTAGTCTTTAGCTTTGTTGATTTTTGAAGGTATGCAAATTTACATGTACTCATTTTTTACATCTGGATGCACTCTATTTCAAAGTCTGATGCAATTGCCTGTAGAGGCCAAGCATTTCAAACACTTCGTTGTTTTGCAGATATAATTGGCAATGGATGCTACAGCAGAATGAAATGAAGGCCATTTTTTGCCCTGGAATTTCTTCCCATCTTTCAGGAACATTGATCTCCCCGATGGATGGTATTGGTGTTTTTCTTTAAAGTTCTTATGTGGTAAAAAATATACTACAAAATTTACTTTCAGAAACTTTTCACTAAGCTGTTGCATCAATTTTTATACCTTTCTCTGTCTTGTCAGTAACTTTCGTATGCTTCTGCCATGTAATACAAAGCTCTTATGTTATACATTTTTATTAAATTAAGTCTAGTTCGGCAAACTTTTCTCATTTGTGGCTCAGCTTCTTTCAGTCAGCCCTGAATATCTTGAAAGGCTAATAGCATTTGCCAAAATTTCTAATGGTCAATTTGTAGAGCATTCCTTTCTTCTCTTGTAATCTTCTCCTTGATCCTGCAGTTGGTTTTCACTTTGTTGTTGTTGCTAGTTTAGATGACGAAATGTAGACTAGCAAAGTGACAGTAGCTGGAACAGAACGTCAACTTTTATTACACTTTGATATTATTTTCATAGTAAAAAATCCTCATGTTCTTTTCATAGTACAAACCCCTCGTGTTCTTTTCATTAGTTATAAAACTAATGATTTTTTTCCATTTGTCTTGACATTTCTTATATGATATTTTCCAATCTTCACAACATTTTAATGGTCGAGGACTGGCCTCAAATTATAGCTTTTCAAGGCCATGTATCTTTCAGGTGACTCAGCCATAACATGCAAAGGGGTGCAGAAGGTACTTTGGAGTGTCAAAGCTGATATAGAAGATGGCTATTTGTTATTTATAACAGGCGATCCTGTTTCCCTAGGCTGTTGGGAGCCAGATATGGCTATTCGCTTATCTCGCTGTAGAGGACATGCTAACTTATGGACATCTGAAATAAAGGTACTCTTATGTGCTCAGTGGCAAGATTTACTTTTTACCCTTCTTCTTTTTATCTTTAGTACTTCACCATAGATAACCTTTGCTAATACTTCACTAAGTTGAGTTTGAGCATGATGAATTGTGAACTTAAGCAATTGTGACTCCTATTTGGTGCTTAGATTGGATTTCGATTTGTTCTCAACTGATTTACCTTCCTGGACTTTTGATTGTTATTATTTGCTGTATAATGCATTAATATTGTAGCAATTGATTATATCTATATGTCTGTTTATCTGAAATATTATGTCAAAAATGACTTCTCTGTGCATGCAAATTAGTGTTGACTTTATTCTTCAACATGAGATTGGAACTGAAAATATTAAGCAATACTTTATAAAACTTATCATATATGTTAAGTGTTGATTAATGGGTAACTGGAAGATTGGACATTAGGTGGGTGCTTCCACTGTTTTCAATGTTGTTTATTTGCTTCAACTTTAATATTTATTTTGCTCATTTATGTGAATTTCTATTACCATCCAGTGGGTCCTAGTCCATATTTGAGCACATCTCTACTGTTCCTGTTTCTGTCAGAAGTTCCAAGTTAAAAGCAATGGCTTGTGAATCTCAATTTAACTGTTTTCAAGCACCTCCAAACAAATGTCACTATATTTCTGTTGTCCAAATGCACCAGGAGTTTCTAAACAAATAGCTAACAGAGACGAATTCCCAAAGTACCTGAGAAGTTGTTTTTGGATATTCCTCTTCAAAAGAAAATACCTCCCCCTGTCCCCCCTCAGGCTTTAACACATTGTTGATTTAATGTTTTCATATTTTCTGCAATTTGGTACTAATAATCTATTTGTGACAGTCATATTTTGACTACTGAAAATATTGAGACATTGTCTAATGACATCTGGTAAAGCAACCTTGACCTTGATATTGAATACTTTGTTGAGTTCTTTCAATATGTTTGGAGAAATAAGTTCTTGTAAGTTCTCAAGCTACCATGTATCTTTAGGTACCTTGTGGGATTCATTTCAAATACAATTATTTCATAAAAGACAAGAAACAGCGTTCTAGGGACCCTGTTTGGAGACTGGGGCCTGAGTTCTCTCTATCCATACCTTCTCGTGGTGGAGAAAATGAAGTGATCGTGGTGAGAGATTGTTGGATGAGGACTAGAATACAAGGACCACCAGTTCCCTCATGGGGATCATGGATGCTGGATGTAGACTTTCCTGACAATCACATCATGCATGAAAGTTATCGAGCTTCCTCTGCAGGTAATTTCACTTGGCGCAACAATTCGTTGCTTGAGACTCCTTTCATGGCACTGAACACTTAAATGCTTCCAGTGGATTGACAGGTGAGCTTGAGATATTGGGAAGTCTTAATGGTGCTTCTTTGCTGGATGAACATTCGTCAGAAGATTGTATGCCTAAAGAAGACCGTAAATTGTTAGATATGGATACCAAAAAGAATTCTGAAGGTTCTGAGGAGAAACTTTCCGAACAAGAACAACCTGTTGAGGAACCATGGCTCCTTCGATCTACTCTTCTATCTTTTAGTGATTCTGGTGAACTTGGTGATGCAATCAGTCAAGAAGAACAACAACCAGAAAAGGGACTGGGAAAGTTGCATGAGATTGAAAAAATGTCACCCAAGGATGATCACAAGCTAGTCCACATCGATGAACCTGCTTCAACAGTAATACTTATAAATTCATCCGGATGCACCATGCAAAGAATTGCTGTATTGGAAGATGATAAGCTTGTTGAGCTACTATTGGAACCGGTGAAAAATAATGTACAGTGTGATAGTATATATTTAGGTGTGCTCACAAAGCTTGTTCCCCATATGGGTGGGGCATTTGTAGATATCGGGATATCACGGCCTTCCTTTATGGATGTTAAGCGGAATAGAGAACCATTTGTGTATCCTCCATTCCATAATGAGATTGAGAGAGAGTCTGCTAACAATTCTAATAGGCTTGAACCAAAAGTTAATACTGAAAACCATGGGCATGACCAGCCTTATGATGAAGATGATATGTCCGATGAGTTATTAGACGTAGACCATCTTGATGAACATGAAGTAGCAGATGAACTGGATGTCTCTGATGCTAATGAGATGAACATGAATGATGATATAATTGAGTACAATGGTGTAGTTGATTCCGAAGAAAATAGTGAGGAACATGGGATTCACATTGAAGACGAGTATATGGATGATTTCCTCCCACTAGCAACAACAAGCTCAAACAGCTCTGGTCTCCCACTTCTAATACGACGGAGCTTGAGGAATTCTGATGTCATTGGTAAGGACAAAAATAAATGGGGTCATGTTCGTGAAGGAACAAAAGTAATCGTGCAAGTGGTTAAAGAGGGACTAGGGACAAAAGGTCCTGCTCTAACTGCTTATCCTAATCTAAGAAGCAGATTCTGGGTATGTATGTAGTATAATCTAGTTGTATTTTAGTTTTATTTTGTTATTTATCAACTTTGTAAATCTCTTTTTGTTTAGCAACATACCAGCAGCTATGTTTCCTTTCCTTTCTTACATGGTAGGACTGCATAATAACTTGCAATATATTTTTCTGGTAATGCTTGGTTCTCTTACATTTTTTGTACCTCATGATTTCATTCAAAATAGTAATTGCCTTAGGATGCAACTAAAAAACTTGATCCTTGGAGCCACTAGCATATGGTGACAAGGAAAAGATGATCACACTATATGGTTATACTTCACTGCTAATAAACAATAACATGCCTAATTGTTTTTGGTATTATGACCTGTCATATAATTATTCAGTCCATGTTAATATTTGTTCTAGGTTAGGATGATAGGTGGCAAGGTGGCATTACAAACAATAAGTTGGTGTCGCTGAAAATTAAATTATTGAGGTGGGTGTTCAGTGATATTAGAAAAGATTTAATAAAGAATAATTGTGTCCTGAAAGTTATGAGCAGTACTTATTAAGGAGAACCTTCCTCTAATTATGTGGGCAAGGTGAGATGAACTGATTCATAAGATCTGTGCCAAGAAATAAAGTGAAATGAGAGCAATAAGATAGGATGTGACAGATTATTTGCTTGTTGCTTTTTGCAGAATTAAATTGCTGATCAGGACCCATGTACACAATGTTGTTTCTTCTTTTTATTATTGTCATATTATTTAATTCAAATTCTTACAGTTGTCTGTGGGATGGCATGCCTACAAAATACAAAATGATGCATTGCAGACGTCTTGGAGTACATGTGGCTATGACATATTCAGCATGCATGTTGGCATGTTTGCAAACACTTGAGTGCAAGCATGGTGTATGGTTGTTCATCTCTGATATAAGTTTGTTATTCTGAAGCTATAATAGTCAAGGAGTTCTAATCATTAATTTCTAGGCCCAATAGTTTATAGTATATTTCCTTGAATATTAATGGTTGCATTTAACATTGTAAGGGGAGACGTATAGTTCAGACATTGCCATATATACTGACATCAACAAATAATAAAAGTAAAACTCCCTAATGACTGCAGTGAAATAGAAATTATTCCAATCATGCTTTAAAATATTGGTTCAGTACTACTGATCGATATTTACTAGTTTGACCATGGATAACAATGGACCATACACCTTGCTATCACTTGGTATTATCACTTTGTTGTTTTTAAGTATATTGGATGATATAGGTTGGTAGTTATTGGTCCGATAAATCATCGAAACTAGTAAGAAACTATCATTACATATCAAAATGAGGTCAAGATCAAGATCAAAGTTCTAATGCTTCTTTCGTGTATTAGTAGCTAAATGTTTAGTGAGTGTAATTTTTCAATTTCAATTCCAGTATTTTTACATAAAACCTAATTTATTTACTTGAAAGATGTTATGCCTGATGAACATTTAAGTCTATTGATCCTAGAGATAAGTTTCAGATACAGAGGCAATGTTTGGCTGCATTCATTGATTGCATTGATTCAGTACATAGCTTCAGGTATAAATGTAAATTGAATTGTTGTGTCTCTAGCAAGAGCTCATTGAACCACATGTTTTGCTTCAGTCTCGATAGGCCAGTTTTAAGTTGCTGAACATGTAAGAAAATCTATTTTTTGTTGACAATACAATTGTCAGTCGTGAGGAAGTTGTCTCAGCTTCTTGCAGATATTAATCACTCGATGTGATAGGATAGGAGTCTCAAAGAAGATCACAGGGGCAGAACGCACTCGCTTAAAAGTTATTGCAAAAACATTGCAACCCCCAGGTTTTGGTTTAACAGTACGAACAGTTGCTGCTGGTCATTCTTTGGATGAACTGAAAAAAGATCTTGATGGTTTAATTTCAACATGGAAAGGCATAATTGAACATGCAAAATCTGCAGCTTTAGCTGCTGAAGAGGGTGTAGAAGATGCAGTTCCTGTAATGTTGCACAGGGCTATGGGTCAGACCTTGTCTGTTGTTCAAGACTATTTCAATGAGAAGGTTGCCCAATTTTCTGTTATGTGTATGTTTTTTGAATTATTTTCTCTTTCCCTCTCTTTCTCTCTCTAACAGTTCTGTTGACTTTGAATGTCATAATCTCACTTGTCTACCTGTGACCTTAATCTTCAGGTTAAGAGCATGGCTGTCGATTCTCCTCGAACTTATCATGAGGTATAATATTCACTAAAAGCGAACATTGATTTTGATTTTGCAAGTTTAATCATTCAGATGCATAAAACTAAAACTGTTGCCTTAGTGTATATTTTGCCTTGAAATACAAGTAGCTATTTGTTTTAGACTGCTGGTTAGTGAATTGTGTGATTTTTCACATGGCTAATTCTCATTCAGTAGATAAAAGTTGTTGAAATTCGAGGAAAAATTATTGACCAATGTAGAACTTCTTTTTTTTTGGAACATCAACCACTTGTCACCAGTGCTTTTGATCTTCAGGTTACCAGCTATCTCCAGGAAATTGCACCAGACTTGTGTAACCGGGTTGAGCTCTATGATAAAAGAATTCCTATTTTTGATGAGTACAACATCGAAGAAGAGATCAACAGCATTCTTAGTAAAAGGTAAGTACAAGCAGTCTAATTTTATCTGTCCAAACAGATTTGACTCTCATGGGTTCTGTAGTTCACAGACTTGAGATTGGAGATATTTGATCGAAGACAGTAATTGGCTTACTGTATCAGTTGTAAATAGAGTACATGTACAACATTATTTCTGCATGCATCCTTGCATCTTGATTAGAGTTTTAATATAGGGCATGATCTTGATGCATACTTGCTGTAGTCATTGTCCCTTTGGACATAATGTATGCCTTCAAAACTTTTGCTGGGTTCAAAGTTGGTGATTATTTAGCTAAATCATGAATGGAACAAATTTTTATAAGTATTGGCTATAGAACTCTGTGTTTCTAGTTTGCATTTGACTTGTTAATATCTGCTCACTTAACGAAGAATATGATAAAGTTACTGCCTGGTTGTTCTATCATGGTGAAGCATTGGAATGCGCCAAAAAGATAAAGGCACTTAACGAAGAATAACGAAGAATCTCATAGTGAAGCATTTGAAGGCCTTTTTACCATATTTTGCAAATTCATATTGGTCTAAGGGCAATAACATCAGAATTGATTGGTTGTGATAGGTGAGATTGGAATGCGCCAAAAAGATAATTTTTTAAAAAATAAATCATAAAAATATTTGAAAAATAAAAATAACTTGAGAGAAATATAAATATCATATTGTTAAAAATTACTTTACTCATATATTTCATGAGTTATCTACTTTTATTAAGTCATGAATTAAAATGCAATAAATAAAAAGCTTTTTTAAAATAATTATTACATATTTATTGGAAAAATAAATAGTAATAATATCATATAGATATTTTGATATAGTAAATTATTATTATACACATCATACAAGAGATCCAAAATTTATCCACCTGCATTTTTTGAAGATGCTAAGTGGAAGCAGGATTAGATAATGCAAAGACCATTGAAGATAAACTTCATTCAAAGGGTCCCCGGAAAATTTAAGGGTAAACGTTGATTCCGTTAGTTTCTGCCCCATTAGATTGGTGGATTCTTATGATGCTAATCTGATGATTCCGACATGGTACCTTTGTTGATTGGACGCTGTTCTGTTTGGCTCAAGGGGATATAAATACTTGTGTGGCTGGTTTTCTCCTCTTACAGCATACTTTGGTGGCTTTTTTTCTGTAAGTGCCTGAAATAGTTGCACTATAGTTTAATGCTAATGTTCTGCTTTTCTTGTAGGGTCCCTCTGTCTAATGGAGGTTATCTGGTGATTGAACAGACTGAAGCTTTGGTTTCAGTCGATGTTAATGGGGGCCAGTGCATGCTAGGAGAAGGGACATCTCAGGAGAAAGCTGTTCTAGATGTCAATCTTGCAGCTGTGAAACAAGTATGTTAAATCCAAATCTTTGTCACCACTTTAGTAATCATGTTAAATCATTAATTTGAAAGATTCTTGTGATGCTGAATTCCTGTCCAGTCTCACCCTTCAACTATTTATGACCAGTCTTCACCATGACAACATTGTTGTTTCCATTTTATTTGTAGCAGCACTAAAAATGAAAACTCCTTGATCTAAGTTGCCCAGTGGTTGATCTTAACCATGGCAAATGTTTCATTCATAAAATTGCACTGGATGGGCTGAAAGTCAAGAGCGAGTCTCAAGGACTCTCTTTCCGTTTCTTCTTCTCTTGTGTTTGTTTGATGTAAATAGTTAACACAATCAAAATACCAACCTTAATTTAAAGTCTATTTTGCCACGATGGAAGAAGTTGCTAAAACTTAAATCATTTTATTTTGCTGTAGATTGCAAGGGAGCTACGTCTAAGAGATATTGGTGGCATCATTGTGGTCGATTTTATTGATATGGTTGATGAATGTAAGTAAATACCCTTGAATACCATTTTCTGCACTCTTCTTATTATGTATCATGATTTTAACATTGGTTGCTCCCCTTGTGAGCAGGGTGACCATGTTTTAAATCAATAGAAATAGCTCTCTGGTTATCCGGGTAAGGCTGTATATATTGATCCTTTCCAAACCTCACATTAGTGGGAGCCTTATGAATGGTTCACCCTCAAAAGGTTGTTTAAATAGGCCTCTGATCTAAATAGCTGAATGTAGAGCTCTATTAGATATTAACATGGTTTTATTGCTTGAGATTTTAAATTGTAGTTATCAAAACAATCCAGCCAAGCCTTGGGTTAACAGTTTTCTAGTTGGACATTGGTAAACTGGGGACATCTTAAGTTCATTATAAGTACTTAAAATACATTAAAATTGATAAATTTGTACTAATAAAAACAAAAAAAATCATAGTGGGGCTATTGAGATCTTAGGCATTACTGAAGCATTAATCACCTATTTAGGAGTTTGTAATCACCTATTTAGGAGTAACAAACAATTCAGGATTATGCTATATTATTTTACAAGTTCTACTCTTACATTAATCACTTAAATAAAATAAAGTTGTTAAAACTGAAGTAGACTGCTGTCAATGCTTAATAAATAAACCAATTTTTCTGTTTCGTATTTAAGAAATTAAGTGTTTCTCAAGAACGATCAAATTTCTTCAAGTAATTATTTATTGTTTATAAATATTCGAATGATGGCCTCTGCTAAAGCAGCACTGTAGAAGCAGCGGTGATTAAAAGACTGAAACCTATCAACATGATTATGAAACGAGGCTGGGTCTTGGATGCATCATCTTATCACCTATTGCTTGGTGGCCCCACACCTCTAGACTTATTATGTATGTCCATAAACTATTTCTTGCAGTCATATGTGATGTAGAAGGCATCAGTTATGTTAGAGGCCACTTGTTCTGGGGATAAATAAACATACAACCTACATAACTTGGCAGTTGGCAAAGAGTATTATTGACAGATCAAAAAGGTACAGTGAGGTGGTCTTGCTCACAGAACTCAATAAAACAGAAGTTTGACATCTCTATGATGATGAGAGGGTAGATGCTGGGGTCACAGTTAATGAGAAGAACAAGGCATGGTATTGAGGGGCATTGAGGCATTTTGGCAATGTTTCCCTTTGGCCTTGTGAAAGTTGAATCATGGGCCTTTTGGTCTTTTAGTTGATATGATAAAATCCGGTCATTCACATGGTATTGGTCATTTTTAATGGTTAATGAAAAACTAGCCATGTTGAATGGTCCAGGCTGGTCTAGAAGTATGATCTGATTATGGAAATGGATTGGAAAGGGGTCTGGTTCATGAATTTGTTAATCACTATTGTTTGACATAAATACTAAAATATTTATTTTGTTAGATCTAATTCCATACGTATCTCTGTAGAGATTGGTGAAACAAACATTAAGTTCTTTTAGATGCCAATGTTCTAAATTAACTGGTTGACCAGAAGGAGAATGTGTGTCCAGAAGATGATAGGGGGAATTATGAGAGAAAAGGGAATATAATACTATAAACAACTTCCTGGAGAGCATAAATCTTTAACCTAACAACAAAGAATGATCCTAAACAATGTATAGCTTGTCCTGACCCTAAAAAAATTCATTTCTGCTTTCTTGCATAGAAAAATCTTTTCTGATTATATAGGTTTCTTCGAGAGTAGGCACTTGTTCTTTGAAGTCTAAATGGTTTTAGAATCTGAAAGTGAAAGGATGCTCTCGAACAATTTATCTATTATTCATCTTTCGATTTCCAACAAGAGGCTCTTGTATAAATTTACCTCTAAGAATCAATGTAGAACAAGGGCTGTTAAAAACTTGTACCTTCTTTATAATGCTCTGGCCTGATGCTTGAACTAAATACAGAAGGTTGTTGTCCAACTGATTAGTAAATTGTGAATTCACTTGCTGTAGATGTTATATCATTTGGATTCTCTTATTAGCTGATTCAAGTTTTTTTTCTAACAATAGAGATAAAGCCATATTAAGGAGGATGCTACTGCTTCTTTAAGCCTTCAATTGAGTATTTTTATGCTGCCTGTAACTTGTCAATATAATGGGATCTGGTTACTGACCAATCAGTTCATCATTGTTTTTTAAAAATTAAACATAGTTATGAACATCACCTTTTTCTGTTTCAATTTGTTATCAGGCAAATCCCTCAGCCTCAACCTATCTCACCTATCCGTTGAGCTTGTTTTTATCTTCTTATACAAGACTTGACACCAGCAGCCACAAGACCTAATCTAATAATTGGTACATTTTATAAAACTCATACTTATTTCTTACTAGAAAGTTTGACAAGGTTATATATAACAAGGTTCGCAATACCGTATTGTACTGGTATTTCGACCTGGGCTCAGTACCGGTACGGTACGGTGTACCGAACACTGTAGCACTGCTACAGTGCGGACAGGTACCGGGCGGTCTGCGTACCGCTGGCCTGTCGGACCGGTACGTACCGCCCGTACCGGGCGGTACGATTCGGTATGGCAAACACTGATATATAAGAATTATAATGTTATAAGTGAAAGCTTGATGAATCAAACATAGGTTGATGAATTTTTTGTTAATGGTAATGGTATTAGATATTTGTCATTGAAAATGGAAGAAGAGAAAGAAGTAAAAAGCTTACTAGACTAGATGGTGAAGTTTTGAATAGAAAAATATATTTGTTGTTGGTTGATGGTATTAGATATTTGTTACTATGATATTAGATATTTGTTGTTGAAAATGGAAGAAGAAAAAGATACGAAAAAAATTTAGTAGAGCTAGATACAAAAAGAGGTTGTTTGGAATTTAGATGAGGATAATATTAATATTATTTAGACTATAATGATCAATAGGATTAGAATCTTAATAAAGGAGATTCTTGGAGAAATTAAAGATAGAGTCTAGTTCTAAGAGGGTTGTTGGTGGCATGAGAAAGCAGGATTTGTTGTATCGGTACATACCACCCGGTACGAGTGGTACGTACTGGTCCGATAGGATACCGGTATGCGGACTGTCTTCTATTGGGCAGTACCAGTCACTTGACCCGTATTGGGTGATACGGGGTTTGTACCGGGCAGTAACGGTCGAAATCCAACTGTTATCGATTTGTACCAATCGATAACGGTTGGATTTCGACCATTATCGATCAAGGTTTAAGATTGCCATATTTTAAACGATCAATTTGACCATTTGAGGCTTAGAAAAGGGTTTTAAACCCTTTCCTCCCTCTTCTTTCAACTCATTTTATTCTCTCAATATCTTAAACTCTCTTAAACTTTTTTTCACTCACATCTTTCTCTTATTATCATATTTTGTTGGTCATACTTCTCGGAGCAACAGTACGATGATCAATCTTATGATACGGAGTAGCAGATCAGTAGCAAAGTAGAAGTTATGATATTCTTTATGCTCTGCACCAATACATGCCACATTCGTCATTTTCTCAGGAGCCGCCTCGGACACGTGGTTCATGACGATCAGACTACGACCATCACCACATTGATGCACCAATGACATATAGTGTATCAGTCAAGGTTCGCAATACCGTACCGTACCGGTATTTCGACTTGAGCTCGGTACCGGTACGGTATGGTGTACCGAGCGGTACACCCAGGTGTACCGAGCACTGTAGCACTGCTACAGTGCGGACCGGTACCAGGCGGTCCACGTACCGCTGGCCTGTCGGACTGGTACGTACCGCCCGTACCGGGCGGTACGATTCGGTATGGCAGACACTGGTATCAGTACACTATGTCGTTAGATCAATTTTAAGATTGGATTCAATAAATATATTATATTGATATACAAATACATAGGATTGAGGACCCCAATCCATCACCCTTGAATCCCGTCAATCCTTTTGGTGATAGAACCAGGTATATCAAAGTTTAAGTTGTATAAAAAAATAATCTAACAATTCAAATAATTTCTTTGTTGATAATTCAATATTAACGAAAAGACGATTCAAAATGTACCACAAAGCTACTCCTCAAACCCCAAAAAAGATATGTGGCATTATTATTTCTTAATTTACATTATTTTTGCTAAAATTATATTAAATTCATATTTATTTCTAACTTAAAAACCCTAATCTAATTTTTTTTTTCTATTTTCAAGTATTTTTGGAGGTGTTTTTATGATTTTGGACGTACCGTTGATACACCCCTGTGTATCGTCAGTACGCCTTGGTACGTACCGTACCGAGCAGGGCTCGGTATATTGGTATGGACCAAAATTGCAATCTTTGTGAGAAAGTTCAAAAAGTAATTATTAAAGATTAATAAAATTATAAAAATAAGAAAAAAATTAAGAAAATAAAAATCTAAAATAGAGGCTAAGAGAGTTGTTAGTATGATGAGATATAAGACTTATGATAATTTTTATAATAGGTACCAAGGATGGTAAAAAAATAGAGAAATAAAGTGTAAGTATTTAGGTGATTAGATGCATTAAAGATGAAGATGAAAGAATCCTTATTAATGATAGTGAAATTAAGAAAAGATAGAAAAATATTTTTATAAATTATTTAATGAATGTTCCACAATTGACTTGGATTCAAAGATAGATAATAATGATAGATCTAGTAATTATAGATTTGTTCGTAAAATTAGAGCTAGTGAGGTAAAAGAAGTCTTAAAATAGATAAAGAGTGAGAGACCTAATGATAGCTCTATTAAGGTTTGAAAAAATTTAAATGACCAAGGCATAGTTTAGTTAACTAGTTTATTTAGCAAAATTTTGAGATTTAAAAGATGCCTAATAAATAGAAGAAGAGTGGCTAATTTATAAGAATAAGGGTGATATCTAAAATTATTCTAGTTATTGAGGAATTAAAAGCATGAGTCACATTATAAAATTTAAATATTGGAAAAGAGTAATTGAAAGTATGATAAAACTTAAAATAAGTATCTCCTAAAATCAATATGGTTTTATGTCTAGAAGATAAAAATAGAAGCTATTTACTT